TACGGGAGGCAACTCGCAGTTAGGAGGAGCAATATCTGTGCTACACCACTGCAAAGGGAGAGCCATCCAGCTCTATTGCATGAGGAACGGCTAGAACTTTTTTGGAAGTGCGCTGCACTATCAGAAGCATTTGGAGGGGTCGGTGGCGATGGTAGCGGATAACATTCTTGTCCATATTGCAGAAGAAGAAGCAGGAATCAAGCGAGTGGTACTAATAGAAAGACCACTCTTTGATGTATAAGTGCTCACATTACCGTTCACCCCTCTTCAGGTAATGGACAAATATTTTGAGTTCGAAAAAGTGACAGAACTTTCCCGCCAACCTAACACATGGAGTTTCGACTTTTTAGCCTAACTAAATAACGAACACCGGTCTTGTGATCAATGAGAACGCTTTTGGCGGATACAAGGTGAGTCTCCTATTTTCCTTCACAAGGCCAACTATGAGTTAAGGCATACCGCTTGATCTTTCAACATCTCTCTCGTGTTTAACACTTTCATGGTGTCACTGTCACTGAGACTTCTGCTACGTTGTTTGCGAGTTTCCACATTTTGTTTCACGTCAGTCTGAAGCGCCATACATATAATTTTCCACAAAGAAAGGAAATTGTGAAAAATTCGATTGAAGCAAAGGTTTTGACAATTGAGCACACCTCCATCTTCACCACGAAAATTAGGCGCTTTTGAGCAGATGAAAACCAATTTTGAAAAACTACTCGGTCTTGAAGGCTCGTGTTGTGGCGCAACTCTTGATGGGTTCAAAAGTTTCGACTTTTCTGTTCGTAACTGCAGAGGAAAAGGGTACGTTTGTTTTCCCGTCCAATATTTACACCCCATATCCCAGAAGATGGAAAAGACGTGGCTGCGTTTCTTCGTATCTTGGATTGATATTTTCCTCCCGTGGAAATGTATCAGGTCGCTGCCCAGCACAAAACAGGGTGACAGTTGTATTAAATGGAAAAATACCACCGAGTACGCAAGCTATGCCTTGTTCATATGAGGTAGCAGGCACACCTACTCCAACTCCAGGATATGGAGCGGATATTTCTAAGTTTCGGAATTGAGCCCCTCCCAGGTCACTAAATGCTGAAAAGAGAAAAATCTCAACCCCGAAATATTATACCGTAATTTTGAGGGAATGTTTTCACTACTGCATGACGACGACATTTTATCCCAACTTCCATCGCAGCGACCTGGACAAAAAGAAGATATTCCTATTGTTATCTACAGTAATAAGATCCAGTATAATGAAGCTCAGGGAACCGTCTATTTCACCCACCACTGAGTTGACAAAAGGCGGCAGATTGCTAACTTTCTATATAACCCTATGTAAAGACCCGATACTCTCTTACCTTTTCAACTTTGTCAGATTTCTGCTTGGACTCTTCGGAGCTCAGAGAGTTGCTGTTGTCGTCATCTCCCTCGCCCGATTTCCTTTCCGAGTTTCTGAACAAGTAAGTGGAAGGTTTTATAAGAGGACTTTACAAGAACTCAGTTTATAAAAAACTACACAATAATAGTCGTAGGAGTGTCAACTTACTTCAATGCCAATGTATTTCCAGTCTTTTTTCCTTGTTGAACAATACCACGCCTTTCCTTTTTTATAACTTTAGTTGCTTTTGATGTAGTCGCCGACTTCTGTGCACCTGTTAGCGCTTGACGTAAAGACGTCGGACGAAGCGCATCCCCAGGCCCTTTTGGCACATCTTTCACTACAAAAGAGCAAAAATGAGTTTTTATTCAGGTAATTGAATTTCGTTTCAACTAAACTAGGATGTACCTTTCTCAATTCGGTGAATACTCTCTACTAATTTATGGTTCACCAAACGATCTCTTGTGCTTCCAGTTTTCTGCGATTGTTTGTCTTATCTTTGCAGAACTTAACGCCTAAAAGCACGATCTTGATTGATTCCTGACACCATTGAAATCAGGTTTTCTTCTCTGGACGTAAAAAATAATCGGATGCTTTAGGTGTTTCAAGGAAACAAAATTATTGATTATAAAAGGACTCTAGAAACTACAGCTCAATTTCTCAAGAGGAGACATTCCTGAAAACAAGCTCTTTAACTTTTGGGAGATAGTCAAGACAATCGTAATTTGCCTCCTCCGCGCACATTGACGGTGGGCGTTGTTTTAACTTACATCAGCCTGACGACTGGAGCACCATATTCCAGCTAAACTAATACATTTTTTTATTTTCTGTATTGGAGTGTACTTTCTTTATCAATCTTGACGTTTTTATTTTATATTCTTGTGTATACAGTACTTTTGTCGCCGTCTAATGCCTAGCAACATCAACAGCGCGACATCGCACGCGACGCCCGTCGGCAAAGCGAATTACGATTGTCTCGTCACATTCTCCAAATCATACCCACCCTTACCCGAAACTGGGCTCACATGTAAAGAACAATCGTCGCAAGTGGCGCGAGAACATACCTGCTGATTTGCTTCAATCGACAGATCAACTTGTCCTCGAGCTAACTGCATTTCTGCTAAATTGTACCACTGGTCAATAGATCTCCGGAAGTCTTCGCGGGACTCATGCGGCATTTATTTAGAGCAACTTACAGCAATTTACAGAAAGAAAGCTTATTTACATCATATTTTTGGGGGCTTCCGCTTTCACAGTTATTTCCAACGTGACTCGGTCATCCTTTATATACCCTTGGCTCTCGTCAAGTACATCCTAAACAAGATGCAATAAAATCTGTTCGCCAAGAGTCATAATTAGAGTACGTTCATACTTTGCAGAAGCCTTCTGAGCGTTTGAGCACCCGCCCGTGTTTTCAGAGGTAATCGATATGCATACATTCTTAGCCGCTCAAGACACTGACAGATGCTCGAATCGCTGACGCGAAGTAAGAACGCAAATTTACCGCGAAATCTAAAAACTCACCGCCAAGTCATAAAGCACGAATAGCCCCAATCATTTTCTTTAGCACTATATACGTGCGTAGTTTTCCGCACGAAATTTTGTACACCACTTTTCTGGGCGATCAACCGCATTTCTGCTACAGATTGACACGTCCACGCACTAAATATAGAAGTATTAACTTTGACATAGTAGTACCTACCCATATCATTCTTCATCGAAAATGGAAAAAAAACTCAC